TCAAATCTCAAAATATTATAATTGATAAATCAGATGCATCAGCATTGATAAGCCATGACCCAGGTTTACGTCCACACACAATTACGGACAATCAAAAATCGTATTTACTCCAGTTAGGGCCACATCAACCAAAACTTGCTAGTTTCCCTAGTGACGGTAAAAATAGATTTAATCCCCAGTGGTATAAAGAGTTTGAACATTTAGAATACAGCACCGAGAAGGATGCTGCATTTTGTTTTGTCTGCTGCCTTTTTCCCGAGGGTGTTGGAAAGAGGGGAAAAACTGAAGATGCTTGGATAAATGTTGGGGTAAGATCTTGGTCCAAGATGAAAAGCTATGGTAAAGACAAACTTGGGAAGCTTAAGACACACTTTACCTCTCAAACACATAAAGTTGCATTAAGTGAATATTGTAACTTTCTTTTGAAAAAGGGACATATAGATCACCTTATCGATAAATCCAAGAGACTTGCTCAGATAGAAGAACAAAAAATAGAAGTGCAGAATAGAAAAACTATTGAAATTCTTATCGATACTTGCAGGACTTTAGGGAATCAAGGGCTAGCGTTTAGGGAATCTGACAATGCTAACCAAGGTAACTTTGTTGCAGTGGTGAATCTCATTTCTCGTCACAATCCCACACTAAAAGCCTGGATTGAAGATAGAGCCCTTCGTCCATATAGAGTGACATACATGAGTCCAACATCTCAAAATGAAATGATTAGTTTAATTGCAACTGAATTAAAGAGTCAGATCATTGATGAAATTAACAGCTCCAATTTTTTTTCTGTAATGGCCGACACCACTCCCGATATGTCACACAAGGACATAATGAGTATAGTTGTGAGAACAGCTAGTGAAAACGGTGAGATTCGGGAAAGGCTTTTGAAATCAGTTGAATGCACTGATAAGACTGGAAAAGGGATGGCTGAGCTAATTTTATATTCTTTACACAAAGAAGGCATCGACACATCAAAGATGGCTTTCCAGTCTTATGACTACGCCAGTTCAATGTCTGGTCAATTTAAGGGAGTACAAAAGTATATAACAGAGGGAGTTGGTCATAATGTGCCCTACACCTTGTCAAGACCACAGAACTAACACTGCTCTGGAACATGCCTGCAATGTTAATACTTCAATACGAGAACTGTTTAATGTTCTCGAACAGTTAAATGTTTTTTTCACATCAAGCACGAAAAGATTTAGTCATCTAAAGGAAAAACTCAAAGACATTGACAATGCAATACAGCTTGTTAACCTATCTAGAACAAGATGGACCGCACGAGCAAAGTCCGTCAAGGCTCTAAATCAGTGTTTAGAGGAGGTTGTTGGTCTTCTTCAGAGCATCTCAAATGATAAGAATTTCGATACTAACACGAGAACTAAGGCAACGGGACTTCTGAAAAAAGTAACAACTTTTGATTTCATTGTTACTCTTTTCTTCATAAAGAATATCATTGAGAAGATCAAAATATTAACAGAAATCTTAGAAAGTCCGAACTTCAATGTCATTGACAGTATTAATGTAATTGAAAGCACTGCCAAGAACCTACAAAATATTAGTAATGACACAGATTCTATGAACGATCTGATTGAAAGTGCAGTGATATTTTCTAGGAAATTACACATCGATGCAGAAAACGATTACAGGCGACACCATAGATTAACAGCCCTGGAGATGAAAGCTTTTTACCGGAAAGAATTCAAAGAGGTCATTGACTCTTTAGCCATGGGTTTAACAGAAAACTCGGCAGTTTTAATGGAAATATTTGCCCCCATCACCAAAATCTTTAGTTTTCCTTTGAATAAGGACAATTTGTGCATTGAAACATTAACACAAGCAAACAAACTTTTTCCGCCTGGATACAAGGATCAAATTCCAGACGTTCATGTGCTTAAAAGTCAGATGGAAATTTTGTTCGATATCTGTTTAGAAGAAGGTGGTGAATATTGTAAGACAAGAACACCTGCTAAGACGCTGCAAGACATTTTGTACCATGCTGTAAAATTAAAGGACATACTCAAACAAGCCCACAAACTGTGCATTCTTCTCATCACAGCTGCTTATGGTGTAGCATCAAACGAGCGGTCGTTCAGTCAACTCAAGATTGTTAAATCACATCTTAGAACGACGATGAGTGATGAGAGATTGGATAGTCTGATGTTGTTAAAGTGTGAAAAAGAACTTTCTAAAGTAGTTAACCTTGAACATCTTGTTAAAGGATGGGTTCAACTTAAGAAACGTCATGTCAAAATTAAAGAGTAGACAGAAAATAAAAGACTAAAGTTTAAATATTGTGTGTAGTGTATTAGTTTGTTATCAATCAGGTTACAAGTTTTTATTTTATAAGAGGCCTATTTTATTTTCATTTATTTATAGACTTTAATAAACGTGTTGGTGTAAGTTTTGTCTAGATAAATTGTCACTGTATGACTAAGTTAATTAATCAAGTTACAAGTGTATGTATGTATTTTATACTAGGCATATTTTATTTGTATTTTATCTATAGACTGTTATGTTCTTCAAAACACTAATATTGTGTTTGTTTATGTGTTATTTTTATGAAGGTTAACATTTTTATTGTATCATTATATGTATAAGTTTATTATCAACTAAGTTTTTTAAAGTTAAAAGTTCTTATTTTATAGGAGTCTTCTTTTGGTTTTATTCTTGTCTAGACTATAATAATATTATTAACAACACTGTAACACTGATATTTCATCATTACAAAGTTGTTTTGGGATGTAAGTTTTATGAAAATAAAATTATTTTAATTTCATTATTTTGTAATAAAATTATTTTTTCCATACTAATTTTTACTAGGTTTATTTATATCACTAAAAATTTTGCACTGCTATGTCTGCTTCACAATGGTTTGTAAGGTTTATTTGATTTCAAACAATACTTATTCAAGTTTTTTTTCATAAAATTTCATTATAAATTGTTAGAACTTTAAGATTTTTTTTATTGAGTAATTTTGTATATATGTAAAACTAGCTATGTTAATAGATGTTAATAAATACTAAACTGAGTGTAACTACAATAATTTGCAGATTTTTAAAATAGTACAGAAATTGATTTCTTTAAAATAAAAAAAAAAATAGTTGGGAAATTTACGTTAAGCAGTTGGGAAAATTGTGGCTTCTCCCCCCCCTGGAATTTTACCAAGCAACGCCACTGAATGGAGATAATACACAATTCAAAGTACAATGTACAGAGTCAAGTGTAAATAGATGAACATGCTATACTAATAAACTAATAATACTGGTTTTTATACAAAAGTATTTGAGATGTATTGATAATGATGGCAATAATACTGTTTATAGTCAAGCACACAAGTTGGATAAGTGCCTATATTAAAATAATTAGGGCTAAAATTTGCAGTGAGATACAGCTTAAAACTAAATAACAATAAATTTTTAAATAAAGTTGACAGTAATAACATTATTATGAAAGACTATTATACCACAGTTCATGAAACCATTGTTACATACTTTAGAAACAATACCCTACTTAACAATTAGAATTTTACAAAAAATCATCATGTTTGAAAGATAAAAATTCCTCGATAGAGTAGATAACCTTTCTCTTCAAAAAATCGGTCAATACATTTTTCAGTGACTTAAAAGGCAAGTTGCGTACATTTTCAGTGAGGGCATTGAAAAGTTTGAGTTGTAAACATTTATAGCTGCGCTGTGTTGAGGCCAGTCTTAATGATGGTAACTCTAAATTATTCCTTAGTCTGGTGTAATGTTTGTGAGTTAATGAGCGAGATGAGAATTGTTCAATATTTGTTTTTACAAAAATGATATTCTGCAAAATGTACACACTTGGTAAAGTGAGAATTTTGTATTCAGGGAAAAAGGTCTTACAACTAACTCTACTTTTTATACCAGCTCCACACCAGGAAGGGGTCCAGAGATCCTCCCCCGAAAATTTTTTTTGCTATTTTTAAGCCATTTTTAATGTCTAGAACTGTGTCCAAAAACCACCGGTTTTTATGATACAGTTAAATTTATGTACAGTTTATTTATGTACAGTTAAATTTATTTTTTACTATAGGTAAGACTCACTTACTTTTGCCTGAAGGTGTCAGATGTTAACATATGCTGTAAATGTTTGGAGCTACTTACAGCTCATCTTCAGCAGCATTCTTGAATTTAAAAAAATCACATCAAACGATGTTTGTCGACTATTTACAGTTTATATATACACACACGAACACACGGAAATATATACAAAGAACACACACGCGTTTTGCAGTTGTAGGTACCGTAAACATGTTTGCGTACGCACGGTTAAATGAAGATAACCTCGACCGGGCGACATTTGTAGGCCTACTGAGGAGCTTGAACTTGAACACGGGAGAGTGACGTCACGGTATCAGCTGACTGGTGGTTCTTATTTCCAGTTTTGTTATCTACATCACAGAACATTTTTTAAACAGAGATTTTTTTAAATTCAAGAATGCTGCTGAAGATGAGCTGTAAGTAGCTCGAAACATGTACAGCATATGTTAACATCTGACACCTTCAGGCAAAAGTAAGTGAGTCTTACCTATAGTAAAAAATATTAAAGGTGTCAAGGCTGATATAAAATTAGTTAAATTTATATTTTCAGTCCAATGGGGTGGGCTTGAGCCCCTATAGCACCCCCCTTGGAACCGCCATTGAATTGATGTGCTAAATGCAATTTTTCTGGCATTGAAACTCTTAGATCGATATATCAGACGGTTAGCATTTTAATTTTTAAATATGGATTCTGGTTAACGAACCACCTGATCTTAGTCCATTACAAGCCTAAAATATCGTTCATGCAACATATACTGTTATTGATTTTGATTCTATTAGTTACTAACTAAAGTTAGACTGTAACAAAATAATCAAATCATCTATTAACCTTAACTATAAATTTGGGGTAGTTGACTTAGTAATGAATTAACTTAATAATGTTGTATTAGCTACAGAGTAGATTAGTCGATGGTAAAAAAATCAAACACATTATCTTTAAATATTTATTTTATAGTTAGTTCACATATAAAAATACAACATTTAATATAAATTCACTCGTTAAAATACTAGGATGAGCATTTAAAGCAATTGTTAATTTAGTAGAACTATTGTAATCCATCGGTAAATGGAGGGTATAAATACTTAATACTTATTTGTAATTTTGATTTTGAAATGTTATTACTTGTGAATATTGATGTATATAAAAAAAAACTACAAACATTTAAACTTATTTTAATTTATATCGTCACTGGTTCTATATTGTTGGAAGATAGTATTGCTTGAAAACCACAACCATTATATTTGAAAAAGTTTAAGAAATTTACCTTCAAAGATTATTAGCAAGTTGTTTATAAAAATATGTATCATTCACAAAAGTAAATAGGGCAGAATATCACAGTATGTAGGAAAACCTAAGTCACTAAAACATGTACAGCAATACAATACAATACTTATACATTAAACGTAGGTAACAGATTTTCCCATAAAATACAAAGTGGTGCTTACCTATAATGTTAGTCGTGTATTAAAATCTAATCTACTTTGATCATTGAATTGTAAAAATTCATGAGATCAAAAACTTTAATTACAAATAATTAAATGTATAACAACGGTACAAAATCTATGAGCTAATAAAACACAGAAGGTGACTTTGGCTTTGTCTTTAGCTTAAGAGACTGAAATACTATATACAAAACAACTAAAGAGTCAATTATATTATTTATCAGTTAAAATATACAGCGCACAAAAAGCTTCGACTTGATTTCAACTTAACAATGGTTCAAACTTATTTTGAATTTTCATCTATTATTTTAATTTTGTAATTAACTAACAAACATCAAGTTGTGAAGCTTTTTAATAACGGTGTTCATGTGCATTGCACAATAAAATAAACTATAGTTTTTTTTTAACTTCAAAATATTGTGACTTAAAAATTAGTTGAAGAATAAATAGCAAGATCGGTTCCAAAGTAACAACTAAAATTACTAAACATAACTGTAAAAACATAACCACTACCACATTGACTCTTAGTCAGTTGTAGAAAAGAATAGTGAAGTATAAGTGCTTGGATTTTAAAATTTAAATGCAATAACAATTGATTAATTTTCCAAACATTCCTTTTAGGTTATCCTGCGTTTATGTACCAAATAAAAAACCGAAACATTTGGTTATTAAAAGTTATCATGAGTCCAATTCAAAACTTTGAAAATATTTAACTTATAGTATCAGTTACATATTAATTTGTATGTAACTTTACAAGTTACAAATATATCATTTAGTAATTTAATTAATACTGAAACATTAAATGACTGAATTATATCATTTCAAGCATTATTTATAAAAAATATTATTCTTTTTTCAACACAATGGTAGGTACATCGTTTACAAGTCCAAATTCCTAAGCCTTATTTAGAATATAAATACATTTTCTAACATTAAGTAGACATATGAAGGCATTGTGATTGTTCAATTCAAGCACTTTTACGCAGATGAGCGTACTTCACGCTTAAGTGAGCGAGTATTTTCAGTCTTGAAACAAAGCACTTATACTGTGAGATCTTCCCAGTCTTCCAGTTGTCTTGGAGACAGCATTATCCTTAGGGAAGTCACCTGCACAAAAAACAAACTATTAGAATGTGAATGAGAATTTGAAGTCTTTTATTACATTTTCCTCTGCCTCAGTTTTCTAAGAGTTAGATGAAATTAGTTTGCTGATGAAATGTTTAAAATTTGTTTTACTGTGTGATTCTTAGCTGGGTTCTTTGTCATAGACCTCAAGCTAATTAGTAAGAGCATGTTTTATCAGTGAAAAATCCTAACATAAAAAGATTATAGACTTTGAAAATGTTGCAACCTAGCATTTTGGCTACCACTTTATTTTTCAGATTTTTGATCTATTTGGACCCATCAAGGAAATGTGTTGTAATTTTCAAGTGAAGTCAAAAGTAAAACATGAAATAAATAAGTAACTAAGAATAAAAATATAAAATATTGTTGGCCAAAACACAATGAAGAACAATGACTGGGCCTCGGAGATATTAGCCATCAGTGACATGTCCACTGTTTGCTTGTTGCTTCCTTTACCTCAACAACTTGGATCACTGTGTCATTCAAACTTGATCAAAGTAAAAAGAGGCAGCAAAATAAAAGAAGCAGCCCACAGTCTATGTGATCATGCCCGCTTTGTTCCGCTCTTTTACATAAAAAGTTTTGGGAAGGGATAGTTTATGAGGAGAGGGCAGTGGCGGTTCTAAGATCTTGTCAAGGGGGGGGGGGGTATCCCAAGAAAATAGGGTTTATCAAGAAAAGAGGGGGGTCCTCCCCCTGGAAAGTTTTATAATTTTAAAGCCTTTTGACCATCTAGAACTGTATCCAAAATCCTCCGTTATGTTTTTAAGAGAGATGCCCTTTTGAGGACCGCCAGTGTGAAAGGGCTAGAGATAGAGAGAGTTTGGCTAATTTTTAAGTTGTTCAATATGCTTTGATGTAAATTGCATACTAAAGCCCCAGTGACTTTTGGAGTAGGGCTGGATTAAGAATGAGTGGTTTAAAGGGAACATAATGTTGGTGTGTTATTATTTACCTTCTGTAGGTTGTTGTGGCAAGAGCTGCTGACAGGATTGTCCTGTAGATCCACCTCTTGTAGACTCGGACTGGCTTTTAATCGCTCAATGTCTACTTCTGCAAACATGTAGAATTGATGATTAACTATCTACTCATTTAAAATTATTGATTTAAGAATATTTAGTAAGGGTAACACTGAGAACAAACTCCTCGACTAAAAAATTGTTTTATAAACATAGCTTATGTGCTATGGAGTACTGTACAATTATCAAACGGATAAAAGTGGTACATTACTCAAATTTGAGGCCCTCAGGACTGAAAAAAATAGTGAGAACAATCACCCCTTCCTCCCCAACCTCAATTGTACCAAAGGCCATGTCACACCGAAAAATAATAAATATAAATTTGAACGGATGGTGTTTTTGGCCTCTAGGGACCTCAAAATGAAGAAGTAAATCGGTCCCGTGTCCAGGTCATACCATGAGTACTACAGTAATAGCTTATTTCCTATATGGGAAATTCGCTAAAACATACATAGCCTAATCAAACAAAAGAAACATGTTAAATTTAATTTCAAACTGCATTAAACTTGATTACTTTTAAACTTTAAATAGCTTGGCCTTTCGAGATGCACTTTTGCCTGTGCTTGACAAAACTCCCGCCAGCATTTTTGGTAGTCACAAAAAATCGCTCAGCAAGCGGGCATGGCGGACCCTACACAATAGTGCGGTGTGACTTGGCACATTTGATAACATGGTGAGCGATTTTCCAAAATTCGCTCCTGCCGCGGTAGCGAGCTCGGTGTGACTTGGCTTTAAAGTACAACAATATTTTATACAAGTATTAGTAATGTTTAAGAAAAATTTATTAAAAAGTTTTAAAAATTTTGAAAGAGAAGGAGGGGTCCTGAAACTCTGTTGACCCTCCTCGGGTGACTGTCCTCTCAGATGACCTTCTAATTGAGCTTTGTTTCTTTAGTTCTGAGCATGAAAAATATTTTTCTATGCTTTTCCAAGAAATAGTTCTTTTCAGAATTTTCAAAATTAACTTGACAAACAATAGCATGTAAAGTTTACAAAAATATTTTTACCACAACATTAGAACTTATATTGATTATTCATTCAAAAAGGGAAGATCAAACATAACTTTTGGAACACAAACTTAGCCGCAAAACTTTTAAACGACTCACCAACTGTAAGAGTTACTAACCTACGATATGGTTGTTATTTGCCTTGAGGGTGGCCAGCTTGGGCATTCTGTAGGCAACCAGAGGCAATGAGATGAACGAATTGTGGGAAATATCCAAACTCTCCAGCTCTGCCAGGTCGGCCAACTCATCTGGCAACTTGCTCATCTGGTTGTTGGACAAGTTCAGGTCTGGAAACATAACAGGTTAAATGTTTAAATGTTTGAAATAAAGGAGTACTGTATGTTGTAACAATTAGTTAGGGATAAATTTCTCAATACTTTGAGCACCAGGTATTTTGCTATATTACCTATGTGGTAATATAATAATGTATTATAATGTAGTAATGGTATTGGCCCAAGGACGAGAACGCATGTAGGAAATTTTCTTGGGGAGCAAAACCGGTATTTTGTTCCAAGGGTCGGGGAAAAAGTCCTTCCACCTTTTTGTTTGTTGGTGTATTCGTTACTTACTTCAGTCAGACTATAAACTAAACAGATTTATTTAGATACATAGAGCTGTTTACAACCCTTTAATGCTTAGTTTATTTTATTTTGTGTTTTCTCAGGGGGATCCGGGCCCAAAGGGTGTACCAGTTTACAAGAAGCAAGTCATCTCTTATCAGTTGTTAAATACTTATCTATTTCACTCTAAACATGCCCTTACCAGTGTAAGCACCTTTGTCACAACCAATAGGCCTATTAAGGAAATAAGAGTACCGGTAGTATGACTGGTGTTTGAATATTAAATTATACTAATTTTAAGATATAGGGTGGTGAGAAACAGTCAGTTATAGCCAATTACTTCTTCTCACAAATCGGACCCAACATTAATTTATTAGTTGTTAGTTACTAAAATATGTAGAAAATTTAGGTCTTTCTGAATAAAGACATTGCAGATTAATTGGTCAGTTGATTTGAGAAATGACTACACCATTTTATGTGGTTCAATTATTATTTCAACAACTAGCCCCTTGTATTATATAAGTGTGTTCTTTTGATTAACAGCATTTCCATGTTGTGGCCCTTCAAAGTATTCTATATTACTGCGTAAAGATTTAAACAAAATGTCATATAGTTTAACTAAACATAGCTAGTCAAACCTCCAGACTTAAGATTATTCTACAAAACTGTATGAATGTAACATAATTTTAAAAACACACTTCTTTCTGCTTTCTATATATGATTAATACGTACTTGTGATTAATGAGAACTTGACGGCAAACTTTGGCGGGATCTTTGAGATGACGTTGCTAGACAGGTTGCAGCCTTTGAGTTCTGTGTGTCTCATCAGGTGATAGACTGCATCAGGAACTTGCATCAGCTGGCACTCGGATAGGTCTGCCACAGAACTGGACGTTTACACACTTACTGTTGACTCAACTCAAACAATAACAATTGCTATACTGTAACATAGTTGAGTGGTTGGTGCTCGCCTAGTAAATCAGAAGGCCTCCGAGTCGATCCTGAGAAAATTTAGTAGCTAAGCTAATTCATAGTCAAAAATTCGGCCCTTGATTACATATTCATCTCCTATCTGGGGATTAGCTATATCAAAAAACACACTCTTCAAAATTCAAGTGATTCAAAACAAAATTCTAAGAATAGCGGTTAATGCTTCCTGGTTTGTTAGAAACAGGCATATACATGAAGAGCTATTAGTGGAGTCTATCTCGGCCTTTATTGAAAAAAACCACCTCAAAATTTCTGAAATCTTTAAACAATGTTCCTGGTGCATTAACTTTTTATCTTGGTGAAGCAACTGAGAACAGGAGGCTACGTTGAAGGCTCCCTCAAGATCTATTGGATGATTAAATCTATAAGAAGATTAAATATATTTCTCTACATTAATTATGTTACTATTTGTTAAACTCACCATGTTATTTTTGTTAATTTCTAGTTTTTTTTTTTTTTTTTTTTTTTTTTTTGTTAACACTTCTGTGAATTATGTCTACATTGAACCAGAAATAAATGCTGTAAAAAAGGGTCCAGCTTTCCTTGATCATTGGGCTTTCAAAAATTATCTTGGCTAATGGAACAGCTAGCTTAGTCAGTAACAAAGCTACATAGATTTTGTTAATTCTGGCTTAATAAACGATTTGATTTGATTGTCTGCGAAACCACTCTACACCTGCCTTGCATTCATATTTAGCTGGTTTAGTTTAAATACACATTTTAAGAGTGTCACTTTCTCGTGGAATTAATTGTGATAGTTTAAGTATAATTGATAAAAGATTGAAAAAAAATATTGAAGTTGCCAACTTAAAGTTTTAAATCATCTACAGGAACACTCTGAAATATCTGAATAAATTACAGCAATCTCAGAAAAACAATTAAAGGAAGGATGTTCCACTAGACACAGATTGTTTTCTGATATTCTAAAATTATGAGTGTGGTATTATTTTATTTATCGTACTGAAACTTTGTAAGTAACATGATTATATTTAATGACTTGCTTATATTGAGGTCTGACAAAACATATTGACACAGATGGTATTCAAGTTTAATAGTTTTTATTCATTATTAAACTCAGTAAAACATGATTACATTAGACTTAGTTTCAATTTTACCATAAAATAGGCTTTTATTCAATAAAAATATTTTAAATTCAAAATGAAGACTTTCTGTGGATGCAATTACCACAAATACATGGTCAAATTACTCAAATTTCAAATTGTATGCTACCATTGTGCAATTCTGCAACTAAACTAACAATACTTTTGAACGGCTACATCAGAGGTCATGATAGCAGTTTTACATATAACTATCTCATAAAATTAAATTGTTCAACATACAGTACAGTGTATACTCATCATATTATGTGTTATATATTTGTGTTATTGTTGTGTTCTAATTAAACTGTAATATTAGGCCTCTAACTTATACTATGTTTTTTGTTGTTTTTTTTTAGGGTAGTTTCATGTCGTAAGGCAAAGGCGATTTATTTACCGTATAACCATACAACCCATTTAAAGGAAACGCTCCTGAACAAAACAAAACAACTTACCCAGTTGCTGAGTGTCCTGAGCGGATTCACACCGAAGGACTACACGAGTTACTGCGTTAGCCATGACGTCACTAAAACTGCAATTGCAATGCAGACGACACGACTCTCGGAACGCAGGAATGGAACTATCGAAAAAATGAAACGAGGCCACCAGTGCTGCCAACATTGCGTCTAGAATGTCCCCGTTCTACTCCCGTGGCCGAGCCAAAAATACGCGAATACGCGCTACCGTCGATTAAGAATACTCCTAAGCAATGTGTCTAGGGACCTATCTTGTGCACGTGCCAGATCGAGTTGCAGTAAATAGTTCATGTTATTGTTGTCATTGTTTTCAAGCCTGTTTGACTCAAATATATCATAAAAATTAGTACCGGTAATACCGCAGTTTGAAATTAGTTCTACGTAAACTTACTTATATGAAGTTAAAATTCCGGCTTTTACATCATAATGTATCTTACAGGTAATGTGGTTTATCTAAATTAGTAGTAAAATATACTGCTGTTATCTATTTTATTCATACACAATGTGCAAATTCCGCTGAATTTTAATTCACCATGTTATTCAAAATGCATGTTGTGACGTGGCTCATGTTATTTAAATGAGCATACACTGAAGACGTAAAAGACCTCCAGCGACGCCGGTAATAAAAGACCTTTAAATTGTACTTAAAAGCATTATCCTGTTTGACTTTTATGCATTGTTTTTGTGGGATAAGTTACAATTTTGCGTGCGACATTATTGTTTGTCAAAGCCAACAAGACTCAAGTAAACTGTCCTGCCTGACTCATAACATCTCGGGCCCCCGAAGGTCGGAGCCGATTAAAGGGCAAAACCTCTTCCAAGTAAGGCAACTGGTTTCAAGAGCGACCCGCCGTACGACTCTTCCTGTAGCGCTCCGGCGACTACGACCACTACAGCGTGGTTCTTCTTACTTGAGTACCTGTCATGCATCGGTATTGTCACTAGTTGCGTACAAACCTACGCGTATTCCGGTATATTTAATTTTTTTTTACTGTATTAATTTGGGAATTGAAATATTATTGGCGAATTCCGTAATTATTGAACTTTTAATTGTGTTTGGAGACTTAACTGGGACGGGCGTCGTCGTCCTGTAATCCAGCTACAGTACTAGGAGGGTGGATTAACGTCCGCACGAGTTAGTACTACGACTATCTGCAGTACTATCCTGAAAATTAGACCAGATCGTATATACCAAGGCAAAAATAATGTGGTTCGGATTCCACTATAAACTGTATATCCCTTTGCCATTATATGAGCTATCAGTTATCAGCTGTGTCTAAGGAATAAGTCGGCCTTAGTCACTTACAAGACTACAAGATCGCGCCACTCATCCTACACTTATCTCCATTACTTGGCTTAGAATACCTACTTTGTATAGTCACCACTTCATTGAAAATTATATTAAAGTAAAGTATTCCAGTAATGCTGCATTTACTTTAAAAATTGCGGGTTGACTGTTTGGAGCTTATTATATAGATTTCAAAATTTAGAATTGGCTTCAAATTATGTTATGTAATAAAATTCCTATACAGTATTTTTATTGATTACTAGGGAAAGTTCTAAAAGCGGAACGTTCCCTAGGTTAACCTTTGAGCCATGCGTAGAATAAATTAAGCTATATTTTGCTTGCTTATTATTACATCTCCACATTATTAGGCAAAGTACACTGTATTATTACTTCAACGCAGGTTGTTACATTTTTAAAACTAAATGTTGGTGTTCTCCTTAAAAATAAAATACTAGCCTGGTTCTGAAGAGGCCCACGCATTTTTAGACACCCAGCATGTTAACCAATTAGTCCATGAGAGCACAATTAAAGGTTTACATAACTACACATACGTTTCATGGTTTCCAAAGAGACATTCCCTGCCAACATATCTTCCTACGTAAAATGTAAAACCTTACAAAAACTAATTAATTACACAGACACCATCGAGAGTTGCGCAGTTGGTACGCCTGGTTACATGGCAGTACCGTGCACTACCAGCTGATGAGTTCGGACATGTGATTCAGTTGCCATTGGCGACGAATTAATTGTTTAATTACGTTACTTCCTGTGCTCCTCGGATCCTACGCTTTCCCTGGTTTATGCAACCGGATGTAGCTTGCGGACCGGCTTGCGTCATCAGTTACGAAGCTACGCGAAGAGATGGTCCTAGTCCAAAGTTCCAAATCTTGAATTTACTGGAGAAAAAGTTTGCTCAAAATCTAGAGACATTACTATTAGTCGTGTTCATTGCATTTGTCTAGACTCGTTTCACAATGTAAAGTATTTGGAAATAAAACACAAAATAGAATAACGAAAACCATAGCCAAGAGATTTTCAAATGATTGTAGTATAGTTCATTAAATCATTGACTACTAATCAAAGGTCAAATCTACTATGGTTATCCGTATATAAGCCGTAAAGAATGAGAAACTCATCTACTTTAAAACTTGACCTAAATTATCTAAAAGAACTCATGCTCATGCATAACAATAACAATAACGTTAAATACCATGCAATTGATAAATGAAGCATACGTATAAGTTTCTCCCTCCAACAACTTAAGTTTTATAAAGTGTACAGTTCAATGAAATGTCCATAATTAATTACCTAGGCTTATTTCATCCGAAGTCGTGATTAGACTAACATTGGTTACTCCATAAGTATTTTTTTCTTACTTTTAAATGAGTTTGGCAATTTTTGTTTTATTTATGCGATTCGCGACTATAATAGCTAATGTGTCCAAGAGTTTTTTTTATCCAAAGTATCGTACATTTTTTCCTTACAAACAAAATATATTCATTTCAAACAAAAGAGAGTATATTTACAACTGTATCGGGTACGCAAAGAACTGGTCGGTCCGACTTGGAGCAAAACCGAGCGAAAGCAAGTGAAAGTCGGATGCTGGATACGGTTCATTGTTGCCAATGTCAGCAAAACAACTGGTATTGAAACAGCTGATCGGATGGGAAACTTGGAAGGCAGTCAGCTGAGACGCCTACTGGGTTGGCAACAACATAAATACAAGGGGCTCCGAGATGATGACTAGAAAGAAATGTAATCCGTTGGTGACTTGAGTGCACAGAATAACTAGCAAGACAAGACCCTCATTATCATCGTTCGTTATTCATCAGAATGGCTCAATAGTTATTCTGAGATTGTAGTTAGAATAATTTTAAAATCGTAAGTTAAAACATATCGGTGTTGTGAAATGTGTTATGCTCCCATATTCCATTAATTGCGTCAACTTATAAATCGGCCACCCTCATTTCTCACAGAAGACACTGCCTTCTGTATGAGGCTAGTGATCAGTCACTGCCACTGCCT